GAAGCAGACAAAACTAACATAAACACAGCTCTTTTTGTTTGTTTTAGATCAGCGGGGGACGAAGGGGGAGGAGAGTTCAGTGCTGGTGAAGGTGCTTGGAAACTGATATTCTCACAAATATTGCTCATTTGCTTACAAACTCTTAATATCCGTTCGGAAAGCAATTTGGCAACCTGCGTCAAACCGATGAATTTTTCATACACTTTACCTCATGTAATTCCACTTTTGAGTATCTATTCCACAGAAATAATCTGGAATTTTTTTTAAAGTTTCATGCGTGAAGATGTTTATTATGGCATTCCGTTTTGGAGAAAAAATACCTAGATATCCAGCAAAAGAAAAGTGGTTTAATGAAGTATATTAGATTTGCTCGGTAGTATGTTATACATTCATTGAAACTAATTATGAAATCTAGCAACATGGGTATGTTTTGTGAAATACTATTTTTTAAAAAAGCAGGATGCAATATGTATGATTATACGTATGTGAAAATGTTAGTCAAATATAAAAGCAGTGATAACACCCACTGTTGGTTAGAGTGTGGGGAAATTAGAACACAGTTTCTTGGTGGGGATGCAAAGAGGGGAAATGTCTTCTGATGGCATTTTGGCAATACGTTTTGTAGCCTAAAAATGTGATGGATTTGACTCAATCCTTACAGAAATTTATCCGAAGAAAATATTCAAGAATGTTTATAAAGATGTAGTTGCAAGGATGTATATAGCATTTTTAAAAGAGAATAACCTGAATATCCAACAATGGGGGATTATTAAATAAATTAGAGTAAATTATTAAATTAATTAGAGTAAGTGGAATGCTATAAAGTCATTACAAATAATTCAACAGAAGGATATTTAATAATGTAGAAAAGGGGTCGTCCTGTGGCTCAGTTGGGAGAGCGTGGTGCTGATAACACCAAGTCAAGGGTTAAGATCCCCTTGCCGGTCATCTTTTAAAAAATAAATTAATTAAAATAATAATAATAATAATGTAGAAAAGTGAGATTTATTAGAAAATGGAAAAAAAGAATATGAAGCAGTATAAACTTTAGGATCTTTTTTTAAAAGAAGCATAAATAGAAAAAAT